CAACAGAAAACAACCATCAACCAAGCACAACAATAAACTCAATAGACAAACAAAAACAACAAACAACATCTGCGGAAATGCCTACAGCCAGTAGTAGTAGAAGTAGTGGTAGTAGTAGTAGTCGTCGTCGTCGTCGTCGTCGTCGTCGTCGTCATCGTCGTGTAGTAGTGGTAGTAGCAGTAGTCGTAGTCGTCGTCGTCGTCGTCGTAGTAGTAGTACTAGTAGCACCGATGTGCGCATCCAGGCGCCTGGTAGTAACCTCTGTTTGTTGGCATAGCATAGGGTCGAGGCCCTCAAAATTGCAAAGCCGTGCACACACTCCGGGACCTTCAACAACACACTTGTAACTTCATGTTCTCTTTGAAGGGCGGGCAATGCTGGGCACGGGCGCCTGTATGTTGGACAGGGATTTGCATTGGAAACTTGCGGGCTGTCAGCCCTGTATGTTAGACAGAATACCTCTGCTGACGTGGTCGTATGTTCTACAGAACGCATGCGGAAAGACACGAAGCTACTGTTCTGAGTGGTTTGGCTCTGTTTGGGCTCAGCTGCATTGTCTGTTATATTTCGACATGCGGACAGCTGCGATGACAATCCTCCGCATCATCAACCTTATCGTCAACCTCAGCATCATCATCATCACCATCATCATCATTGCCATCATCTGCTTCATCATCATCTTCATCACCGTTAATAACATGCACATCATCTTCATCTTCAGCATCTTCATCATCATCCTCTTCTTCACCATCGCTATCAACCTCATCATCATCATCATCCTCAGTGTACTTAGTAGCAATCCCGAATAGTTTGTTGGAAGCTGAATTAATTACATTTTCCAGAATCTCTGTATTTCCTGGTATTGTCGGCTCTCTAAACACTTAAAACTACCAGGCGCCCGGAGACGCGCAACCCTAGTAGTAGTAGTAGTAGTAGTAGTAGTAGTAGTAGTAGTAGTACATGCATCAAACAAAATTAGGCTCAGCCGCTCAAAAAAAATTTAAAAAGGATCAAAAACAAATTTACGCTTGGGGGATTTGCT